CCATTACATTGGTTAACGTTTTTTGCACTTTTTTTACATCATCGTTTATGATTTGGACACTTTTCACAACCTCAGAACTGACCACGCTAGCAAATGATCTGGTCATTTCATTTCTAAAGTTCGAAATCTCATCACAGAGCTTTGATCCAGGGACATCCAATCCAGACATTTTGCCTTCATTTGCTTCCAATTTTACCTTGATTGCATCGATTTCTGATCTAATCTCTTTACTTAAGCTGTTTATCTTGTCACATATCTCAGCTTTTCCACTCTCAACTGTTTTGATGATCTGATCCTTTATTGATGGTGACTTCAAGCACTCATCACACACAAATTTGACGTTATCACATGCCTTCAATAGTTCTAACGATTCCTCAGTCATGCCGACAGCAAACGAAATCCCACAACAAACACACTGAACATCTGTTGATTCTTTTTCACATCGTAGAGCATCGCTATTAGAATTTTTCGTAGATCTTCCTTTACCAGCCATCATCACCAGATCGAAAGTTTAATTGAAGTTTTAGTAAACGCGTTATCCAAGCCGACAAGTTGTGTAAACGTGTGATATAAATTGACAAAATTTTAGATCAGTAAACAGTATCTACTCAAACAATTCTTGAGTTTATATAGTCTATAAAATCGACACGATAAAAAAAAAAAGACACAACACAACAACACAAGTTTGCCAAGCTATAACGCGTGTACAGTACAAACAATCCTACAACAATTACAAGCTTAGAACTTTCCACTTCGCCAATTTAAACACAAATTAATTTTAAATTTAACGAAAATAGAGTTAAATAAATCAAAAATTGCTACAATTAAATTTTCGACAAAAAAAATTATATCACCCTACAAATGTAAATTATCCCTATCAAATAAAACTAAATTGAATCAGAACTATTAACTACAAACAACAAAACTTAAGAAACCACAGAGCAAATCAAAAATACAACCCTACAATGTATGTATGTATGTATGTATGTATGTATGTGTGTATTTATGTATGTGTGTATTTATGTATGTATGTATTTATGTATGTATGTATGTATGTATGTATTCAATTCAATTCAATTCAAACAAACTTTTATTCAGTAAAAGTAAAAAATGTTTATGTTTCTTAAGTTTTGTTGTTTGTAGTTAATAGTTCTGATTCAATGTATGTATGTATGTATGTATGTATGTATGTATGTATGTATGTATGTATGTATGTATGTATGTATGTATGTATGTATGTGTATGTATGTATGTATGTATGTTTGTGTATGTATGTATGTGTGTATTTATGTGTGTGTATGTATGTATGTATGTATGTATGTTTGTTTGTTTGTGTGTTTGTATGTATGTATGTATGTACGTATGTATGTTG